GAAATTCTCATAAAACACTGATAAGTTCAATAAGTTTTTACAACTTCATCGATGGTTTGGCTAACCATTTTTACAAAATTCTCATGCCTTACTAAACTATTACGCTGAGACTCCCTAGGGTTTTCTATACTAAGTTTCCGAATTTCTTCTCGAATTTTGTCAAATACATCCAATGCTTTCTCCAACTTTTCAATTTTTCTTGTCTTTTCTTTAACTGTGATGTGGCATCTTTCAAGGTATGGTTGGCCATTATAAACTGTAATTGATAATCCTCTAGTTCCTTTCTTAGCTTCTCTATCTATTCTTCAAAACTTGTAGGAGTAGACAGTGACTTCTCTTTTCGTTGTTCTATTTTCAACTTGATCCATTCATCATATTCCAAAATGACCTTAGGTTTTAATTTGTTCACTTGATCCAAGTGCAGGTTCTGTAAATCATGAAGATTCCCCCAAATTTCTAAACCATGAATCTGACATCCTCAATTTCTTGTATCATCGGAACTCTTTATGGATATTCAAATTGCCTCATGACTCGTTGTAGAATATAAGTGACCAACTTGTTGGTACCTCTTAGAGGGATAAAATTGTACTAAGTAGTTTTGGAAGTCGGATCCCTGACTTTTGTCCAATCCAAAACCTATTGTACTTTATTCAGAGTCAAGCTGTCAAACTCTTGAACAAATTGACTTGGAGATGCCATTCGGTAATACCTTTTGAACCTTTCTCGGTATGATTCGGTCAAATTCTTTGTTGGGAGACAAGATCCCAAGGGTTTGAGTGTTTTTTTCGCCAAATGTTTTATTGTCCACATTTGGAGTATCAAATTTGATGCATAGAAGAACCTCCTTTTCCTTTGACATTCAGTAACGGTTGTGAAGATGTCGGCAATGATAATAGATACCAAAGTGAGCGTCTTTTTGCTGACTTCCAAAAAGAGACTCTAAATCATGTTGATAGTTGAAAACGTGACTTTTTCATACCTTTGCGGGAACAATAACAGATTTATCAAAACTAATTCAAATGTTTGAACACGCTTCTCTTCCCATTGGTCCTTACTTAGGAAGAAATCGGCGCGGCACTATTCATAAGATTCCCTTTTCCCAAATCATCTATACAGAAATTCCAACGGACATGACTTTGCATCCGGATGTCGGTCCATGCTATTTTGCCTCAATCCCAAAAATCTACAAAACTACTCTCTCATTCCACTGGTTGAATACACCATACGATGACCTTTCTCTGGTACTTACAATAGACCTTCTATTTCTTTCAAAGTCAGTGTCAGCTCACATTCTTCAAATCGAAAGACTGAACCCTCTAGATCCCAATACTTAAGTAAAATTTGAATGATTGCAACATTGGGGGACACGTTGAGAAGACTTGGCAAGTATCCCACATACTTGAACAATTTTTTCACCTCATGCAACATATTATTTTTTCAATCGGTTAGTTCTCGAGATATCTAATTTAGCACTCTATAAGGAGCCATGTGAGAACTCGAAATTTTTCTTAATTTCTAGGCATTATTTTATTTTTTTGCGTGCATTTTCTTTATTTTCTTTTACTATATAAATTTTCTACATAATTTTATCAGTAAATATAGTTTTTAAATCATTTTCCTAGTATAAGTTAGTTCATGTGACAATAGTAGGAAATTTTGGATGTGGGACCCGCTAGTGCGTTAAGTGTGAAATTTTCGACCATTCGGTTAAGTTTTGTACTAAGGGAGTAATTTACTAGGTGTTAGGAGATAATTAGAGGTCATCTTGATATAATTACCTTTGGAGAGACAAGAGGATAGGTACAAAATAAAAGGTGACACGTGTCGCGTTTCTATTCGAGGGTGGACTTTTGACCAAGATATTTTTACCTTCTTACAACTAATTTTGACCAAAATATTGCTTCATTTTAACCCTTCTTGGCCGAGCTTCATTAGACAGAAAAGAAGAGAGAAACTTCAACTTTTGCCTTCCATTTCTTGCTCAATCTTGTGAATCAACCAACCAAACATCAAATTACTCCATAAAAATCCCTTGCTAGGAGGAATCCCAGAAGGTGGTGGAGTGGTTTTGAAAGGGAAGCCCTAAGTTGCTAGCTTTCTTGAGTTTTGAGGTAAGTTGGATAAGAAAGTTCTCTCTTTGCTTTAATAATGGTTAATTAGTGGGTTATAGTGCCTAAATAGGTTATTTTGTGGAAGATTTTATGGGTTAAAGTAGAGTTTGATGAATTTTAGAATTTTTGGTGATTTTTCTGATTTTATATGATGATTATTGTTGGGACATGGAATGGTAGTTTGATATGGTGTAAAATGAAGCTCTTGTATGTTAGTTGTGGTTGTTTGCGGAAAATTTCCGCTTGTAGGGCAAATTTCAGTTTTAGGGTTTGCTATGGTTGGTTGTTGAGCCTTTAAGTGGCTAAGATTGAAGGGTATTGTAACATTCATTAAGTGTGTTGAACAGCCTATAAATTGTATGTGTTGTTGGTGGTTGTTTGTAGGATGGAAAAGTATGAAATTCAGGGGAAATGCTGTCCAAAGTTTGAGGATATTGAGTTCCTTTGAGTTTGAATTGAAATTGGGTAGAAATGAAATGTTTTGGGGTTGTTTATGCTTTTAGCACCAAATGTTCCTTAATTTTCCTTTCTAGTTATTTTTGGTCTTGCTTTAGTAGTTCCTTGAATAGGTATTCGACTCGTGTTCGGGTCTTAATTGTTATTTCTTACTTGTTTATAGGGCGTGCCGGTGATCTGAGGCATACGTCGGATGGAAATTTGTGAACGTGCTTTATTTGAACGGGTGAGTGTACCGTTGTATGATTTGATGCTTACATGGTTGTTGTATTTGAATCTTTGGACTGAATGACTGTGAATTACGTTTTTGAGACGAGAGTGTACTATATCACTCCTGTCCTCTTATTTGTATATCTGTTTACTGTATGACTGTGCAATTGCTACCTGTACATGATTTGGTGTCGTTTGGAGCATGTGTCCAATGACTTTGCTGTGATATCTGAGCTCAAATCTCATTGGTCGTTAATCGATTCGAGCCGGTAAGGGCCTGGTCGATGAGATAACATACCATGGGGTACTGTTCGTCGAGTGGAGTGTTATCTCCTCGACTTTATGGTATACTCGAGTATTACCCTTTCTGATTCTGTGAAGTGTTCGGGGCCGGTAAGGGGTATGTATGATGGAAGGTAATTGGTGTAAAGTGAAGTCTACGATCATGTTCGTTTCTTCGAATATTGGCGGAGTGTCAACGAGTTGAGATCAAGTAATGCAAAGATGGGAAATTGGCACTTGAGTGCCATCCGTATCCTTTAAATGTGATGTTCCTTGGTATTTAAGTAAGGTTTGTGTGATTGTTAAAGTGTATTTCTGTGATTAGTGACTATATAACCTGTTGTTACCTCATTAGCGAAAACTCATCCCTCGTAAATTTTGTTTTCCTTACAGGATCAACTTTTGGAAACCATGATTTTGGAAGCAAGTTGAGTTAGTTGATATTCTTTTGTTCTTTTGTATAGCTCCTCGAAAGTTGGAACCCTAAATGTATCTCATTTCAATGACACTTTTGATTTGTAAACGTACTCACGTGTGAATATATAAAAGCGTTTCTTCATGTGGTGTGGCATATATACTTGTGAACGTATGATCTCTAGTGACTAGATAAAGTTTATATGTTTTGGTAGAGTTTCGGACGTGTTCGGAATTTAAACAAAGAAAGAAAAAATTTTTGGCCGGGTACTGTTCATCGAATCCGGCCTAGTATCAAGCTAGTTTTTGGCCGGATATGCAGGGGAAATTTCAAAATTTTTTTGAGTTGGCTACTGCCTCCAATCCGGCCGAATTGTGACTTGGCAGGCACTATTCATCTTCAGTTTTGATTTTCGTTTTCCGTTTCGTGGTTGTTGAATTGTTTAAGAGCGTTAATATATTTCGGGATGTATTAGTTTGTGTATAACCGTCTTAGTAGTCCTGGCGAGAGTTGGGCAGGCAGTTCGCTAACCCCTTTGGTACGCCTTAGGGGAAGGTGGGGCTGTCACAGTTGGTATCAGAGCCTAGGTTTAGAAATAACCTGGGCGAACCGTATCTTTGATCCTTAGAATCTTTGGAGTTGTGTTAGGGTGTGCTTAGGTGTTGTTATTTTGTCTAAGCTGTGAACTATGTGTATCTTTCTAGGTCATGGACGGATCTTGTGGGAGCGGAGGTGAGCCGTCACGGAGGCGGTTTCGCGTCATCGATTATCAAGAGAGGGCTGGAGGTCCGATCCGGCTTTGGTAAACCATTAGTAGGACTCGATGTTGTAGTCTTTGCCAGAACTATTCCTATGTCGACCATGTTGTTGTAGCGGTGCTAGATGAAAGAAAGAGGCTTAGACGTGCTGCCGCCAGGGATCACACTGAGATGCTTAGACTGAAGGGCATCATGAGGATCCAAGCCGATCGGAGTGAGGAGCTCCAGGGGGACATAGCCATGGAGCAAGAGCGGACGAATGCTCTTAGGGAGCAGCTCCAAGTAGCCAACAACCGTCTTACGAATGTGGTTAGGGAAGTTAGGGATCGGTCTCGCGGCATCATTATCGAGTGTGAGATGCTAGTTCAGGGGGTGCTTGAGGCGAGCGTACAGGTGGAGGCTCCGGGTGTTGGGGCACCTGGAGAGGGGAACGCACATAGTTCTAGCCATGGGGAAGAATCCGTGGGCTCAATAGAGAACTAGGTTAGAGCTCCTTCGAGTTATGTTTTGATTCCATGTGGGGTATAGTTAGTGAAGCTCTTAGTTAGCTGCTTTTGTGTTTTGACCTAGCCTTGTATATTGTATTTTTGGGATGACCCCGCTACTGTCATGGGATTACTTTTGTATGCTACTGTATGACTTGTTTGATACCTCTATGTGTTATATGTATAAATGCTTCTATTTGGTGCTTATTTCTTGTTATTTGTTTACGTTTATATATTGCTTTAATATTATACTTGTGCTTCGACCCTAGATTGGATATTATCGATGGAGGGTACTCGTAGTGGTCCGGGCTGTGGACGTGGAGTTAGACAACCTGCGACTGAAGGGGGTAGTCGTGAAACCATGCCTGAACTAAATCCTGAGCCTAGAATTGACCCTAATGTCCAAGTAGCCGCTGCTATTCAACGAATGACTGACTTGTTGGCCCACGTAGTGGAACAACAGGGCCAACCCCCTGTTCATCAACATGGTAACCCTGGCAATCATCTAGAGGGTGAGGACAGAGCTCTCGAAAGGTTCCAAAAGTTCTCCCCACCAAAATTTCTGGGAGGGCTAGATCCAGACATGGCCGAAAGGTGGTTGGAGAAAATGATAGATATATTTGCGGTCTTACACTATAGTGAGGAGAGGCAGGTCACTTTTGCTATCTTCCAATTGGAGAGGGCCGCTCGTTCTTGGTGGAATGTGATACGGACGAAGTGGAAAAGAGAACAAACACCAAGAACGTGGGTAAATTTCATGAGAGAATTCAATGCAAAGTACTTTCCGCCTTTGGTTCAGGAAAAGAAGGAGGACGAGTTCATAAGGTTTCGCCAGGGAACTCAAACGGTGGCCGAGTATGAGAACCAATTTACGAGACTGTCCAAGTTTGCCCCTGAACTTATTGTAACTGAACAAAGGAGGGTGTGGCGATTTATCCAAGGGTTAAATGTGAAAATTCAAAAGGATCTGGCGGTAACCCAGATTAATACTTCTAGTGAGGCAGTAGAAAACATTGCGAGTTGAAAACGCAAGACTTCAAGTTAGAAACTTCCAGGTGAGGAAACGGGGATTTCCTGGAAGTAGTTCTGGGCAAGGGGATAAAGGTAATCCTTCCAAGGTTGGAAGGGGGACCGGAGGAGGAAGATTTTCGGGAATGTCAAGAGGAACCTCGACCAGGGGTGGTCCAGTTAGACGAGACCAACAGAGGAGTGACTCACAGAGGAGCTCAGCTTCTGTTTCTCGGGGTCCTTGTGGATTTTGTGGGAAACCAAACTACACGGAGGACAACTGTTGGAGGAAGGAAAGGAAGTGCTTGCGCTGTGGGAGTGCGGAGCATCAAATTGCAAGCTGTCCAATTTTACCTCGAGAGGCGAGAGTAACTCCGCAATCGTCGAAGGCCAACTCGGGGCAATCTAAGGTGGAAGGGACGAGACCAAATGTGCCAGCTCGGGTATATTCCCTTGAACAACATCAAGTCCCTGACTCATCTGAGATCGTGGAAGGTACGATCCCTGTCTTCCATCGTCTAGTTAGGATTTTGATAGACCTCGGTGCCACCCATTCCTTTGTTAACCCTGATTTTATGTGCAGAATTGATATAAAACCTGTTAGCTTGCCTTACGACTTGGAAGTTAGTACTCCTAAGGGAAACCAATGTTTGATCACAAGTATGATGTATGCTGATTGTGAAATTTGGGTAGGAGAGAGGAAGCTATTGGGGAATCTTATAAGCTTAACTATTCAGGGGTATGACGTTATTTTGGGAATGGACTGGTTAGCTAAATATGAAACCTAACTTGACTGTAAGAGGAAAGTGGTAGAATTACGTATTCCGGGGGAGACGACTTTAAGGCTAGATATAAGGGGTAGCCTAGCCTCATCTGCATTGATTTCGAGTATTCGGGCTAGGAAACTTCTGAGTAGAGGGGCGCAAGGGTTCCTAACTTTTCTTATAAACACTCCCATCGATAAGTTGATGGTAGAGGATGTACTGGTAGTGAATGAATATCCGGATGTATTCCCTGATGAGTTAGTAACCTTACCTCCGGATAGAGAGATAGAGTTCAAGATTGATTTGTTACCGGGGACGTCACCTATTTCTAAAACCCCATATCGAATGGCATCTGCGGAACTTAAGGAGTTGAAGTTACAGTTGCCAGATTTATTGGAACGAGAGTTTATCCGTGAGAGTGGATCTCCTTGGGGAGCCCCTGTGTTGTTTGTGAAGAAGAAAGATGGGACCTTGAGATTGTGTATAGACTATCGGGGGTTAAACAATGTGACCATTAAGAATAAATACCCACTGTCCCATATTGATGAATTGTTTGACCAGTTGCAAGGAGCGGTAGTCTTTTCGAAGTTAGACCTCCGACAGGGGTACTATCAGTTGTTAATTCGGAAGGAGGATGTACCAAAGACTGCCTTCAATTCTAGGTATGGGCATTTTAAATTTACCGTCATGTCCTTTGGATTGACCAATATCCCTGCCGCTTTTATGGACTTAATGCATCGGGTTTTTAAACTCTACCTGGACCGATTTGTCGTTGTGTTTATTGATGATATTTTGGTCTATTCAAAAATCCGAGGGGAACATGAGCAACATTTGAAGTTAGTCTTACAAACCCTAAGAGATCATCAGTTATATGTTAAATTCAGTAAGTGTGAATTTTGGCTGGAAAAGATTTCTTTTTTGGAGCATGTGATTTCGAAGGAGGGTATTACGGTTGATCCGGCAAAGGTAGAGGCAGTGACTGAATGGAAGAGGCCAGAAACTCCCACTGAAGTTCGTGGCTTTCTAGGGCTGGTTGGATACTACCGTCGATTTATTAAGGATTTTTCCAAGCTTGCCAGTCCTTTAACTGATTTGACGAAAAAGAATGGCCGTTTTCTGTGGGACCCTAGGTGTGAGAGTAGTTTTCAAGAATTGAAACGAAGGCTAACCATGGCCCCTATTCTATCTTTGTCCAATGGTAAGGATAGTTTCACCGTTTATACTTATGCTTCAAGGGAAGGATTGGGGTGCGTGTTGATGCAAAATAAGAACGTGACATCTTTTACTTCTAGAAAATTGAAACCTCACGAGCAAAACTATCCCACCCACGACTTGGAGTTAGCAGCCGTGGTCTTTGCCCTGAAAAAGTGGAGGCACTACCTGTACGGGGTAACCTTTGAGGTTTATTCTGACCATAAAAGCCTTAAGTACCTGTTTTTCCAAAAGGAACTGAACATGAGGCAGCGACGATGGATGGAACTCTTAAAGGATTACGACTGTACGATTAACTACCATCCGGGGAAGGCGAATGTAGTAGCTAATGCCTTGAGTCGGAAGGCTCAAATAGCTGGGCTAATGGTCAAAGAATGGGAGATGTTGGGAGCAGTCAGTGAGTGGAACCCTAATTTGGAACATCAAAAGGTGATCTTTGGGAATATCCGGGTAACATCTGCTATTCTAGGTCGAATGAAAGAAACTCAGGAGGAGGATCCGATGGTACAAAAGTGGAAGGAAAATGTAGAGAAGGGAGAATTACCTGATTTCAATGTGAGTCCTAAAGGGATTTTGAGGTATCGGAACCGAGTAGTGGTGCCTAAGGATGAAACTTTAAAAAAGAAAATTTTGGAGGAAACCCATCGATCGAAATATACAATCCACCTGGGAAGTAACAAGATGTACCAAGATCTGCGAAGGTTGTATTGGTGGGATAACATGAAGAGGAAAATTGCCCAATATGTACAATCCTGTTTAGTCTGCTAGCAAGTTAAGGCTGAATATCAAAAACCTTCTGATTTGCTGCAACCTCTTGAGATACCCGAATGGAAGTGGGAGAACATCACGATGGACTTTGTCTCCGGTTTGCCAAGGACACAAAAGGGACATGATGCCGTTTGGGTGATCGTTGATCGGTTGACCAAATCGGCCCATTTCTTGCCTGTGAACATGAAATATTCCCTGGAAAAGTTGGCTCAGCTGTATATGAATGAAATCGTGAGATTGCACGGAATTCCAGTGAGTATAGTTTCAGACAGGAATCCTCGTTTCGTGTCTAGGTTTTGGCAGAAATTTTAGGAAACCTTGGGGACCAAACTCAACCTAAGTACCACTTATCACCCCCAGACAGATGGACAATCTGAGCGAACCATTCAAACCCTTGAGGATATGTTAAGGACTTGCATCTTAGATTTTGGGATAGTTGGGGCCAATACATGACCTTAGTGGAGTTTGCCTACAATAATAGTTACCACTCGTCGATCCAAATGGCACCATACGAGGCGCTTTACGGAAGGAAGTGGCGATCACCGATCTATTGGGATGAAATAGGCGAAAAGAAGGTTCTAGATCCAACAACCATTCCATGGATGGAGGATACACAAGAAAAAGTCAATTTAATACGTCAAAGACTCCAAACAGCTCAAAGCCGACAAAAGAGCTACGCGGACAACCGAAGGAAAGATTTGGAGTTCGAAACTGGAGACCGTGTCTTCCTTAAGGTTACACCCTTACAAAGTGTCACAGCGGGTAGAGGAAAGAAACTTCAACCACGATTCGTAGGACCCTTCAAGATTCTCCAAAGAGTTGGAAAAGTAGCATATCGACTTGAGCTACCATCAAGTTTGTCCAGGATTCACGACGTCTTTCATGTCTCGATGCTCAAAAAGTATTACTCCGATCCAACTCATATTTTGCAACCGGAGGAGATTGAGATAGATGAGTCACTCACCTATGAGGAGAAACCTGTGCAGTTACTCGACCGAAAGGTTAAGGAGCTGAGAAACAAGCAAATTCCATTAGTAAAGATCTTGTGGAGAAACCACGGGGTAGAAGAGGCGACTTGGGAGGTGGAAGAAGAGATGCAAAAGAAATACTCTGAGTTATTTGTGAATCAAGGTAAGAAATTTCGAGGACGAAATTCTTTAAGGGAGAGAGAGTGTGAGAACCCGAAATTTTTCTTAATTTCTAGGCATTATTTTATTTCTTTGCATGCATTTTCTATATTTTCTTTTACTATATAAATTTTCTAGATATTTTTATCAGTAAATATAGTTTTTAAATCATTTTTCTAGTATAAGTTAGTTCATGTGACAATAGTAGGGAATTTTGGATGTGGAATCCGCTAGTGCGTTAAGTGTGAAATTTTCGACGATTCAGTTAAGTTTTGTATTAAGGGAGTAATTTACTAGGTGTTAGGAGATAATTAGAGATCATCTTGATATAATTACCTTTGGAGAGACAAGGGGATAGATATAAAATAAAAGCTGTCACGTGTCGCGTTTCTATTCGAGGGTGGACTTTTGACCAAGATATTTTTACCTTCTTACAACTAATTTTGACCAAAACATTGCTTCATTTTAACCCTTCTTGGCCGAGCTTCATTAGACAGAAAAGAAGAGAGAAACTTCAACTTTTGCCTTCCATTTCTTGCTCAATCTTGTGAATCAACCAACCAAACATCAAATTACTCCATAAAAATCCCTTGCTAGGAGGAATCCAAGAAGGTGGTGGAGTGGTTTTGAAAGGGAAGCCCTAAGTTGCTAGCTTTCTTGAGTTTTGAGGTAAGCTGGATAAGAAAGTTCTCTCTTTGCTTTAATAATGGTTAATTAGTGGGTTATAGTGGCTAAATAGGTTATTTTGTGGAAGATTTTATGGGTTAAAGTAGAGTTTGATGAATTTTAGAATTTTTGATGGTTTTTTTGATTTTATATGATGATTATTGTTGGGACATGGAATGGTAGTTTGATATGGTGTAAAATGAAACTCTTGTATGTTAGTTGTGGTTGTTTGTGGAAAATTTTCGCTTGTAGGGCAAATTTCAGTTTTAGGGTTTGCTATGGTTGGTTGTTGAGCCTTTAAGTGGCTAAGATTGAAGGGTATTGTAACATTTATTAAGTGTGTTGAACAGCCTATAAATTGTATGTGTTGTTGGTGGTTGTTTGTAGGATGGAAAAGTATGAAATTAAGGGGAAATGCTATCCAAAATTTGAGGATATTGAGTTCCTTTGAGTTTGAATTGAAATTGGGTAGAAATGAAATGTTTTGGGGTTGTTTATGCTTTTAGCACCAAATGTTCCTTAATTTCCCTTTCTAGTTATTTTTGGTCTTGCTTTAGTAGTTCCTTGAATAGGTATTCGACTCGTGTTCGGGTCTCAATTGTTATTTCTTACTTGTTTATAGGGCGTGCCGGTGATCTGAGGCATACGTCGGATGGAAATTTGTGAACGTGCTTTATTTGAACGGGTGAGTGTACCGTTGTATGATTTGATGCTTACATGGTTGTTGTATTTGAATCTTTGGACTGAATGACTGTGAATTACGTTTTTGAGACGAGAGTGTACTTTATCACTCCCGTTCTCTTAGTTGTATAACTGTTTACTGTATAACTGTGCAATTGTTACCTGTACATGGTTTGGTGTCGTTTGGAGCATGTGTCCAACGACTTTACTGTGATATCTGAGCTCAAACCTCATTGGTCGTTAATCGAGTCGAGCCGGCAAGGGCCTGGTCGATGAGATAACGTACCATGGGGTACTGTTCGTCGAGTGGAGTGTTATCTCCTCGACTTTATGGTGTACTCGAGTATTACCCTTTCTGATTCTGTGAGATGTTTGGGTCTGGTAAGGGGAATGTATGGTAGAAGGTAATTGGTGTAAAGTGAAGTCTACGGTCATGTTCGTTTCTTCGAATGTTGGCGGAGTGTCAACGAATTGAGATCAAGTAATGCAAAGATGAGAAATTGGCACTTGAGTGCCATCCGTATCCTTTAAATGTGATGTTCCTTGGTATTTAAGTAAGGTTTATGTGAT